AAATCGTAATAAATACATATCTTTGAACTACTGCATTAAAAATCTTAATTCTTCAGAGCCTGATCACCCAATTCTGGGCCATTTAACCAGCAGGAACAGAATCTTGAAACACTCTCCTTCAAACGACTGTCTACTCAAACCAATATTAAAGCGAATTCCTTTCATCCAGGCATTGTAAGACTATTTAGTGAACTTTCAGATATAATAACAAATTCAGTTGTTGAGGCAACCCTTAAAACTGCAACAACAAAAAAACTCCTGAAATAATATTTTCTCCAGAAGTTCTTCTTGACCTAATTTGGTTGATATTCTCTATCTTTTGGGTCTGTGAATTCCCCTTAATTTGTAGTGCTCCCTTTTATGTTGTTTCCAGTCCAATAGGTTCTCTCCCTCAATGTTGCATAACCCTGTTTTGTTTCTTTTTTGTCTACTTTGTTTTCTTCTACTGTTTTTTTTTCTCCCCCTCCCCCATCTTGCTTCTTTTGATTGACAGTTGTTAATTATCCCTCTGGCTGTAACAGTGTGCATCACTTTATGCATACCAAATAAAGCTGAACTATCTGACTCAAGGAAAAGAAAAGAAACTGGAATTGAAAGGCTCTGAAAAAATGTCAAGGCACTCCAACTGCTGTGCACAAGTCTGGTGCAGAAGATGAAAAATCTGTTCTACTAGGAAATTTTGACTTTTTCCTTAGATAGCAAAGACAAGATGCAAGAGGTGAACACCATGACTGGCTGGTCCAACTTGTTCGTGAAGGTCGGCATACTCATTCTGTGCTGGAGTGTGGGATCAGGTGAGTCAGGGTCTCAATCCTCATCCATGAGCCATTTTACAGTGGATTTAGGATGTGTTTGCACATCAATAAGAGCTATGGGTTTGGTTAATTTTGTCACCATACCCAAACACTGGGTGGTTTTGACTCTTCAAGGACCAATATTCAGTTCATGTTATATACTTGGAGAAACAAAGAATTGACTAGTTTGTGGAACTTTGCATTTTTTTGCAGGAGACTTGTGCAATATCAAGAATCTAGAAGTGGATTGCAAGTTCATATATGAAGACTTGGGCATTGTTCAAGTCTCTGGAGTTGTACATCTTCCAGATGGAAAGTTGGGTCCTGCCAACTTGACGCTTACCATTAATGTGAGATCATGGTTATTGGCTAATTGGAATTATTGGCATGTCAACAGATTGGTGCATTGATACTCATGCTTTAGGCTTCTTTCCTAACTTGAAGAAAACTGAGATACTCTAGGTAGATTGTTATTCCTTAACAGGAAAATTACTTGAGCTGGTAGATGAAACAGGTGAAAAGCAGATGCAATACTCTGAAGGAAGTGTGCTTCTAGGCCAGGAGGAAAGACAGCAAACAACATAAACATAAGCCATAAAAGAAATTATAGCCTTCACAGAAGCCAAAAGCAACACTTGGAAGCTGATCTTTGTTCATGTTTGATGTCAAACCTCACAGTAGTTTGGAGTGAAATCTATTACAGTGATTTTCTGTTGCAGGCACCCTAATGGCCCCTAACTACAGAGGCTANATGGAGGGTTCATGCTCTTAATTTTAAGGTTAATAAATAAAATTAAAAAAAACTTTGAAGAAAGCAAAACAAATAATATAGATTGCTTTAGGGAAGGGTGTGTGAGCTACTGTGTGAAGAGCATCAATCACATTAGCAGTTCTTGTGGCCTGATGAAGCTGCTCTTCATAAATGTTGATGAAATTGAAATAGATGACATTACATCAACTTTGTTTTACAACTTTAATTGGGAATGGCACAGTAGTTATATGGTGTGAATGATGATTGGAAATTCAACTGACATGGTTGAAACTCTTTTACCCCACCTACCACCAGGCATTTGGTGAGTTTTCACTGCAGAAAATTGCCCTTTGACCTTGAAAAATTGCTTGGTTTCATCACATACTATGATGAGCTCTGATGCCAAATTTATAAAAGATTAATCAGAATTTTAGTGTTGATATCTTTTTGGTGGCAAATACAGTTAATTCAGCCTAACAAAAATGCCATAAATGCTAAGGTTAATATAATTGGGATTCAACCACTGACTGCACTGAATAATGTTTGTTTTGATAGTTTATTGCTAAATCATGAATTTTTTGCAGGTAGTTTCACATCAGCTGGAATGGGAGCACGATTTTGCAGTTTGCCATGGCAAAAAGGTGACCCACATTCCAAGCCTGATGGTGCATGGATTTCCAGTCATGGTCAGGATGGAATTTGAACCAGATATATCTCAACCCCATGTTGACACCAAGGCGATACATGCCTTTGTGAGACTTCCATATATTTCTGCATATATTGAAAACTGAAATTTCTACTCCTATTATTATGCATTGAATATTATATCAAAAATTTCAAATGTTCAGAATTTTGCCCTCCAGGGCAAAAAATGATATTGTTCTAATGTTTCCCAGAGCTGAGAATATATTGTCATTTGCATTGTTGAAGGAGACAAAGAAATGGAATGGAAACAACAGACCATTAAAATAGTAAAGTTGAACTTCACCAGTAGAAGGAGGTAGTTGTGTTCAGCCTATTGTGTGCAATGGTCCAGAGTAAGTGAAAACCTGGTTGAAAATGCCTGACACTCCTTGGTTGACCTAAGGAGTGGATTCAATATCAGCAAAAAATTTGTCTAATATTAACTCGATTTTGCATACATCTGACATTTCAAGGCATTTTCCCCCTTCCTTTGTCCAGTTTTTCAAAGTTATCACTGTATCTTCAAAATGATTTATTTCACCTTAGTGATGTTAAGTATCGTTGAAACGTTCTCATCAAAAACGTTTAAATGATGATCGTCATTATTTGAGGCCACTGTACAATGTTTTGAAGAGATTTTTCTCTTCAAGAGTTAGCTTCATATTGTCTAGTTAGGGCAAGTATTGGTATTTTATCCTTCATTTGCCAAGGCACATTCCTAGGACATCAGTTTTCAGTAGGGCTTACTTGCAATCAGCTGACTATGTCCCTCTGAGTTGGGTTTCCTGGACCTAGGGAGGGAGTAAAAAAGGTCATTGTGAGTAAACTTGTGGATTCTTGCAGCTAGTTGGGGGTCAAATTTCTTCACTAGTAGTGTGGGAATATGCAAATGTTTTTTTTTTTATAGTCATCCACAGCTGTCTGTAAAAGAAATCATGGTTGAAAACTAAATAGGCTAATTTTACTGTTCATTATGGAAATATTAGTTCCTCTACAATAACTTGAGGGTTTGGAGGGGCCGATACTCACCTGCTTGGTCTTTGGCCATTGTTGTTCAATGTGAGATTAAATCTTGTTTGGAACTATCGGTAACCTGTGGAAAAATCAAAAAAACATTTTCAGTTCACTGGGTGCTGGTGAATCTCCCCTCTATTTCATTGGAACCGCCTTTCTTGTAAGAATCGCAAGACACAATGTTGCTTTGTCTGTGTTGCCATGCATTTTTGGGCATCTCAGGATGAGACGGGTTGAATTTGAATGATTTTTGAAAAAACAACATAAAATATTTTCAGCCAGGTGTTCACTTACTCTGGACCACTGTGTATTGGAGAGAAAGGAACAAACTGCTGAAGGATTTTCCATTGCTCATCAGTTAAAGAACACATAAACCACAATCATTCCTTCAACCAGATATTTAACTGCAGCTTTTGCCATAGAGTTGGATGAAGTACTAGGAAAATATCATTGTTTACTGTTCACACCTGACTGAGGGCTGGCATTTCTGTGCCCCTGAAATTGTTCAGGAGCTTTTTTTCCCTGCAGAAATTATGTGATCAATAATGTAATGATTTTTTCAACTGCTTATGCCAATGTTGTAAAGAGCTAGTGTTTCCATCTGAGATGAAATTAGTGATATGCATCCATTAAGACACCAGATGGTGTGGATATGAATGAATTTTTTATTAGTAAGATATTTCTGGTCCTTCTTGTCTTCTGGGAGCTAATCTATAGCTTGCAATGATGGCAGCCCCTGCTGGAGATGGAAATAGTTGCATGGCAGAAGTGAGAAATGTAGGTGGGATGAAATACTGAATTTGTCTGTGATCATTTGGGCAGGGTTACATGGAAGGAGAGGGTGGAGAGAGGAAGTACCAGTTCCTGAGGTCAATCATCTTGCCCAACTGGGACCTAGTGAATCTTGAGATGCTTCCCCCATGTGCCGTTAAAAATGCCTCAGATATCCATTCACGCCTGATGGACGTTGAGTTACAGCTGAAAAATCTGAAGTCAGATATGTCAACATATACTTCTGTATTAGGTTTGTTGTTAGATTTTTCTGCATCATATTAATGCACCTGAAGGACTTTTTTCAGGTCAGTTTCCTCAGATTTGGATGAAATTCTTTACATATAGAATGAGTCAAAAGTCCTGCCCACATTTTGATCAGTAATAACCCATGACTGAATGATCAGATTGAAACACAGCCTATATGAAGGGAAGTCAAATGAAAACAGGACATTGTCAGTTGCAGCACACAAAGCATAGGGAACCATGTCAATTGTATCCTTTAGTGTTCGGTTAATGGCAGCACCATAAAAAATCAGTTAGGTTGATTTGGATCTGTGGTCATTCCACACAATTTTAAAGATGGCAGCAGCAGGTATGGAGTGCCTGTATCAAAGTGAAGGTGCATTAGTGTGCAAGAGTGGAGAGGTAGAGCAGTGTCAAGGTAGAGATGCATTTAGCAATTCATTTCTTGGTAGGGTGACCATATTTTTTTAAAAGGAAAATCCTAGACATTTTCCCGCTGTTTACAGTTGACAATAGGCCAATGAGCTGCTTGCTACAGATGTGTGGCACTGAAAGGAAAAATTGCTGGATAGTTTTCCGAGCAGGGCAGTACCTCAATACCAGGGCTGTTCCAGAGAAAACGAGATTCAGAGAGATTTTACCACATTGTGTCTCCATTGTGGATGAAAGTGAGAAACTGATTCAAGCCTTCTAGCCAGTTCCAATCAAAACTAGGCTGGCTGGGTTTTTTTTCTCATTAACTTACATGGATAATCATGGCTCATTCATGGAAACAAATTTTCTCATATGTGATCTCATTAAGCTTGTTTCAAGTTAATTTTAGGCATGAGTATTACTCTTTCATGTGTGAAACTCAAATATACCCTCAGGTAATAAGCAGTGACTTGACCAGCTTTCTGACTGTACTTTATTGTGATCCAATTCCAGTAATTGCCATCACAGTCATGGTGGCACTGGAACTTTTCCATTTCACTGGAATAGTTTCCTCTTGGTTCAAGAAGACTGCACAAAATCAGGTAAGAAAACATTTGAACCCTGTTTCACCTATCCCACTTTTGGATTCATTGAAAAACTTATGTGAAATAACTTTTAACAAATCATTAGTTTTGCAGGATGAATTTATGCTTAGAAAGACATTAAATTCATTTGTAATTGCTGATATGCTTGTGTATCTTACTCTGTGAGTATGAAGCTTATTCTCACTGGTCGGGATCCAAGTATTGCAAAGTTTATACCACAACCCACATCAAATAAAAATGTCTTTTTTGTGAAGATATTACTTTAACGTTGCCAAATTCCCATAGAGCAAGACAGTAGAGTGGATGATCAACCCTTCTTTGCACCAACAATAGACTGTCACACTCACCCTCTCATCATACATCCACATCCACTTTCCTCTCCCATTCATTCTACATATCCCAGATAGATTTGGCTGTATCATCTGACAAGGCAGAGGAGGCTCACTCATGGCATGGGATTTATGCAACTTGGTTTTTCTTGGAACAACATCTGATATGAAAGTATTAGGTTGGTGCAAAAATAATTGCGGTTTTTGTTATTCCAAACTTTGATGCTTATTTTGGAATAAACTTTTATTTAACTATGT